CCCTCCCGCTGCACAGGGAGGAAATTTGTTTCCTGTTTTTCAGTGGTATATTCCATCACTCTTGTTGCTCACATGAGCATTCCCCAAACGTGACAATGATGATAAATGGTATAGGAGGAGGATTTCTGTCTTCCACTGCATCCATCACACAAGTAATTGGAGAAGCATGTGGTGAGGAGCCTCTCATGGAGTGGCCTGGCTGATTCTGCCCTTTGTAGCTGGAGGCAATGTTTGCTAGCAGACTGGGAAAGGTAACAGGAAGAGAGCGGGGTTCCATGTAATACAGATATGGCTTGCTGTAGGTATGGGAATGAGGAGCATTGGAGAGCTGGAGTATGACTGCTTGAATCTTCCTCCCAGTGATACCTCTGCACACACGCACATAAACTCCAAAGAAAAGAGATCTGAAGTGCACTCAACATGGGGAGCATTTGTGGAATGGCACTCAAAGGCACGTGAAGTGAGTATTGCTAGATGTCCTTAGGAGAGGTTTTCCCTGTCTTTCTGCATTTCTGCAGTGGTTGGGTTGCCTTGTGCCATAGCAAAGGATTGGCATATATGGGATTTAAAAAACAGCTGTATGCTGACAATAAAAGTAATAGCGTGGCCTGCAGCTTACCCAGAAAGTATTTATTTTGCCTTGTACCACTGCTACAAAGCTGAAGTCTAGAGATCACCTGGACCTAGAGTGCCTTATGATATGGAAGCAACAACAGAGGATTGTTTCCTGTACATCTTTCTCTTGTTTAGCCTTCTTCAAAAGGGATGAGTTTTTGATTAAGTTTAATAGTAAAGATGCTTGGGGCTAGTGGAAGGGCAGATCTTGGTGGAGGCGGATCTGCAACAAATGGGAAAGCTCAGCTGGGATACTGCCAGTCTTCAGTTATCTGTATATTGGTAAGAGCCAGAAATTCATGAAACTGTTAACCAGAGTATCTGGACTATAAATGCTGGTTTGAAGCCATCCAGGGTGGCATTTTTGGAATTGTGGCTGCTTTCACCTGATACTGGGCTGCAGGGTCTGCAGCTACAGTTGTTGCATAAATAGTCTTTATATGTGAATCTGGCTTTTGTGGGTGGACCCTGTCTGATGCCAGGGGGATATCCTGTATTCTGAAATGTCCCTTGGTTTTCTGCTTGTGTAAACATTTTTGAAGTTCCCTGAGTGGGAATGGTCAATTATTTGCATGTGTGTGTGCTGGTGACTGTAAATTTATGGAGCAGTGATCTGAAAATATGCATTGAAGTGGTGCTAACTGTGTAGGCTTTTCTAATATTTGTTCTCCACCCAGATATCAAATCAGGGAGAAAAAAGGCATGTGTGGCTTGCGACAGGCGTGCAGTGGGGCACTGATGCGTTTGCTTGTTGTCCTTTTTCAGATGATAGATGTCTTCTTCTTCCTCTTCCTCTTTGCTGTGTGGATGGTGGCCTTTGGTGTGGCCAGGCAAGGTATCCTGAGGAAGAATGAGCACCGCTGGGAGTGGATATTTCGATCTGTCATCTATGAGCCATACCTGGCTATGTTTGGCCAGTACCCTGACGATGTTGATGGTACCTATTTTCTGTGGGAACCTCTCTCTGTCCTTTCAGTGGTTGTCCAGTCCTGTGTTGACCCCTTTCCTCCAAGCAGCAAGGCAAGATTTTATGTCTGATGGGGAGACGGGGAAGGAGGAGGCCACACGTATTGTGCTCAGTGGCAGTACCTGGGGCTGGGGGACAGGGCTCACTGTTTGCTCTCCTCTCTCACCCTCTGAGGTACCACCTACAACTTTGACCGCTGCACCTTTTCTGGGAATGAGTCCAAGCCCTTGTGCGTGGAGCTGGATGCCAACAACCAACCCCGCTTCCCAGAGTGGATTACCATTCCCCTTGTCTGCATTTACATGCTTTCAACTAACATCCTTCTTGTGAACCTGCTCGTGGCCATGTTTGGGTACGTAATAAAGGATCAATCACTTGCTTGTGATCCCTGTATCAATATCCCTCTGAGAAAGGGAATAAAGTCCTGGAAAATGGCATGAAGCCAGGCCTTGGACTCTGCCTGTGTCTTTTGCAGAGGAATTGCTGGGAGTAGTCTGGACAGGGTTCCCAGGTTGAAACAGACCTCTCAAGTTAAGGGTGTGGTGTGGGAAGATGAACAAAGGCAAGGTTACTCAGCATTTCTCACAGCAAAATGGGTACAATGTCCTGGGGATGGATTGCTGCCTGTCCTTTTACTACTTCTCTAGGTGTCCTTTGCACAGTGGGCTTAGTATAAACCCCTGTGGTTCACACAGGGGGTGATAGCTGGATCAGTGCTTTACCAAGTATAAGCTGCTGCACAACTGACCTTGCTAGGCTGAATAAATGAATTGTTATCACAATCTTTTTATGACACTATGGTTTTATTAACCAGAACTGCTGTGTGGTGATGATGGGTGTATTACTGCTCTGGTGGACCTGCTATTTATTGTTCTGACTTATACCACAGGCGATGGGCTGCATCTCTTTGGGACATACAAAAGGACTTTGTCTTGAAAAATGCCATCATCTCTGTTTTTATATGGTAATTTATCTGTCTGTGGGTCTACCAGTCAGGAGGCCTATTCTGGCATCTTGTGAAGTGTTACACCATGCAGATGGATCAGACACCTGAAATGTGGTGCTGGTATCTGCTGACCTTATCACATAGCCAGCACTGAATTGCCAAAAAAAAAATGGTGGCTGTTGTGCACATTATCAAATATATTTTGACTGCATTGGGACCAGCAAGAGCAGGGAAAAGTTTCCTCAGCTTCTTCCAGAAATCTTTGTTGTTTACACTGCAAGCTCTGACACAGACTTGAGTTAATAATGGGAAGTCCTTCATATCAGACTTCAGGAGTGTGTTGCCCTCCTGTCTCACTTCGGACTTGTGAATACAGTTGGATTGGTGCTGTGGCTCTGTTCTCCTTCACAGCCCTGCTTCTTTTCTGCTTTACACTCCCTCACAGCATAACAAAAATACTTAGAACCCCTGGGCATCGTTCTTGAGGTCCGCTATGTTTATTTTTGCTTGTTTTGATGGTACTTTGGCAGTGACAGACTTGGCAGGAATTTGCTTTGGCAAAAAGAGCATTTATAGGAACTGCTAAGGATCTTGGTTTGCCTCAAGAAGATCTCCCTTCTGAATGCCGGTGCCAATTTTTCCTGGCCTGAGATAAGATGTATTAGTGTGATGAGTTGAGAACCCCTTAGCTGTGGGATCTGCACTCCCCTCCGCTCTTAACCTTTCTTCCCCTGCTGACCTGGGCTCCAAAGACAGTCAGAAATGTGACTTTTGGCAAGGCAGCTAGGACTGGTGCAGCATGTCTATTTATTGTACATGTGTTTTCCTAACCTGCACAGGACCTGAGGACAAAAGACAATGCTTATACTCCCTAGAAAGGGTGAAAGCAATTCACATTAATAAAGGAAAGTACAGCAGTAAGCCAGCTCTACCCTAGAAGTCTTTGATATTCGTTACAACACTTATTTTAACAGCACCTAATGGTAAAAGTTCTGGTTTATACAGTTATGCCGGTAAAAACCTAGTTTTTGCCAGTTCAGTTTATTTTGTGGAAGGACCCAGTGTGAATTCTCTAATGACACTCTCAGAGCTTTGCATAGTTCATTTTAACAATAGACTGAATGATTTGATCAAGCAGGAGTGCTGCATTGTACTGAGCCTCAGGAAGCCCTGTGGGCCAACAGCAGTCCCAGATGTTTTTTTCTTGATACAGTTAGAAATGTGTGAATCTGTGACGGCTATTCCTAAGACCAGTGTGTACATAGTATTTGTCAATCTTTAATAATGTTGATATCTATTAGACACCAGTACAATCAGTATCTTTATATGTTTTAATTACAATTATATATTAATTTTAACAACAGAGAATCCAACTTTTTCTTTGAATCCAGTATGCATTCGCTGAAAAGGATGAACATTACATTTTAGATACTTCTGAAATTCAGGATTGTGTTTATCTTCTAAAACAACAGATAATTTCCACTAGCTGAAGGTTTTAGCTTACCTCATATAAGGGTCCTTTAGGATCTCAACACAGACATTTTGGAAACATCCATCTGCCATTTAATGTCAGCAATGAAAGGTCAGGCAGTCTGTGAGCTGTTTGCTCTTCTGGTTGTTACTTTGCTGGGTTCGTACAGTGCTTAGTACAGTAGGTTTGCTCCATGCCTGGAACATTCTTAATGCCTCTGCTAAAAATCTCAGGAGCTTTTCATTTTTTGTAAATGTTCTATTTTTAGGGTTTGGTTTTTTTTTTTGCTTAGAAAGAAGTTAGCTGATGAATTAATGAGACACAGTATCTTGCAAAGCAGCATCCTGTTCTCATGTGTCTAGGCTGGAAGAAAATTGCCTAGAGCTAAGGCAGTGAAAGTATATGGAGTATTTTCTCCCTGTTTCTATTCTTTCCAGTTTATTTGTAACTTCAGGGTTTTTTCCCTACTGTCTTTGTTACTCCCATTTTCAAATTTCTCTCTAAAAAGGAGAACAAACTCACTAACCTCCTACTCAGTAAAAACTACCAGCTCCAGGATGACTTTACAAAAACATGCTGTGGTATAATAAAGAGAAATGCTGTGTTACTTGGCTCTGAGATGGAGTTCTTTGGTGAATAACTAATGCTGTATGTGTTTTCTCTTTCTTTGCCTGTTAGTTACACTGTTGGATCAGTACAAGAGAACAATGACCAAGTGTGGAAGTTCCAGCGTTACTTCTTGGTCCAAGAATACTGCAGTCGCTTGACTATTCCCTTCCCTTTTGTCATCTTTGCCTACATATTCATGGTCATGAGGAAATGTTTCAAATGCTGCTGTAAGAAAGAAAGTAAAGAGCCATCTATTTGTTGTGAGTAGGATTATTCCTTACCACCTAGAAGTCAGCTCTGTGGCAGGTGCATTGCAACTTTTCCATGGCATTCTGTGCTTAAACCAGGCAGTTAGTGTTTTGGAAAATTTTCAAGGGCAATGTAGACCTTGGAGGAGATACTTGTACTGGAAATGAGGAGCAGCTCATTCATGTTCTCCATCAAATACAAAACCACTGTGTTTCTGGAAATCTCTTCGATAAGAGTCAAATCAAAGCCCCTGGCTGCTTCTCAGCCATAATCTTCCTTCAGTACTCAAGGTGCACGCTCTCTGGGATATGGGGAATTATATTGCTAACTCCTTATGCTAAAACTCCAATTGAGCATTGTTGTGATCCCCATCCTCCAATAGCTTTGGTTTTGGTCTGGTTAGAGAGCTGTTGTGTTCTACCATGAGACCTGCTCCGCTTGAGTACTGTGCAGAGTTATCCAGTGCTTTCTTGACCAAGCCGTTTCGAGGCAGAATTACCTCATGTATGTAAACCAATTAAGTCTTCAAATTAATCCTATCAGTTTAGGGCTGCCTATGCTTTTTCCTAGCTTTGAAAGATTTTTTTTTTGTGTTAGAGCACTGAACAAATTCATCCAGAGCCTGCAGCAGCTGAAAGTCATCTTCATGGTCTGCGTGAAAAATGTAAACCATCCCCTTTGTCATTAGCATCTGATAAAGCATCCCTCCTGCACTGCTCCCAAGTGGCAGAGATCCCTGATCTTGCATGCTCTGAATGTTTAGGTAAATTGTACAAGGGGTGGTCTTAGTCTCTGCTTACCACTCTGTCTTCTGGCATTGCATTTCTTTTTGTCCTTCTGTACAATCTCCCGGCTAATACAACTAGTAGCTGCTAGGGTAGCCTAGTAGAGCACAATCATCTTTAGAGGCTCTTCTGCCTGCTGCTGAGTGACTGAAAGAGAATGCAGAGTCTCCTGGCCCTCTGGGCATGGCCAAATGGGCAACCTGCCTCAACATGCAGGAGTGGCTGAGCCAATTCTCTAGCTATTTCCCCCTTATTTACTCTGTCAGAGAGCACAGATACGAATTGTTTTAATAAGCTTTTTTCCCTCAACAAATGGAGTGTTTTCTCTCTTTTTTAAGTGCCATTCAGAAGCAGATGAGAGAGGATAAGTTAAGTTAATTGACAGAATTATTCCCATCCATCAGCAACCTGACTGTTGCCCTGCAGCACAGGCTGGATTTGTTATTAGCGTAGGAGAAAGATGACTGCTTTGGGGTATAAAATTCCTTAGCACTGACTAAATCGTTTTGGCTGTCCAAATCACTGGTTTCTCTGCTGGGGAGGTTGTTTAACTGCAGATATTTCTGCCCAAGTGATGCACAGTTGATGCTGCAGTTCGCAAAGCAAATGGAAGAATTAATTAGAGCCAGCATATCATTGTGGTTGAGCTGGTGGCAGGAACTGAGAACTGCATGGAGAATGCACGCTAATGTATTGACTATTGCAAAATCCTGGCTTCCCCACTTAACTCTTACAGAAATGGTTGGGATTCAGGTCCTTAAATGACTGTTGGTATCTGGGAGAACAACTGACGCTGTGTGAGGTCAGAGGAGCACTGAGTGGAGGCAACGCGACTTCAGTCATTTGCCAGCTATAGGCTTCTTTTGTCTCTGCTAACTTTTTTTAATCAAAACCCATGTGGTTTGTGATGTCCTGTTGGAACAGAATAAAATGCAGAAGTATTAGCCTGGAGGACTTTGATGCCTCAAAGTGGTTTGCTCTGTGTCAGTCTCTAATTTACAGCATCAACAGGAGATGCTTTTTAGAGAAGGCAATGCTTCATCATTTTGAAATGTTTTAGTTCAATGATAAATCATACAACATGGTGCTTAACACGTGTTACTCTTAATGATCCAATATGGGATAATGTAGAAACAAATGGAAAGCTTAAACCCAGATAGGAACTTTCTGGAATGTCCTATGCCTGTTGAAGCAGCTGCCATTTCACAAAGCACCCTCATTAACAAAGACTCAAAAAATTCCAGAAAGACTTCTGGAGCTTTTTGGGGTTTTTGTTCATATTTTCTGCTTTTAACCAACTCTGATTGCCAGGAGCATACAGGAAAATGCATTAATGTCGTGTTTATCAGAGCTGTGTCACAGGTGGGAAGTGGGGCTGCGAATGCTCTGGATGTGGAGAAGGGAATTATTAGCCTCTGAATGCAAGCACTAACCCAGCCTTTTTGCATCTTAGCATTGGAAAGACAAATTAACTGAATCTAGTCTTGTTGTTTTTCTTCACATACCTTTTCCAGGCTCAAAAAATGAGGACAATGAAATTCTGGCATGGGAAGCTGTCATGAAGGAAAATTACCTTGTCAAAATCAATACCAAAGCAAATGATTCATCAGAAGAGTACGTCTGCCCTTCTTTGTCTTCACTCTCTTAACTTTCTGTTGAATATTTTTAGTGAAGGCAAGTTTTTAGCAGCTCTAAATGTTTGCAAACTAGTGAATAGATAAATAAACTCAGCATAAATGTGCCTTTTCTTTTTAAGTAGAATGATGGCTTTTCTGTCAGCTGCTGCAGACTGTCTTCAGAAAAAATTGATTGGGCTGGTAAAATGCTAATGGCAATATTGCAAGGGTTATAATGGCATATTATGCACACAGTAGCAGGGTAGATGTATTAAACACATTTGTTCCAAATGTCTGTCACAGTATTTCTCAAATGATTTCACCTTTCTGTACTTGACTCTTTCTATTTTACCACCAGAAGAGAAAATGTTGTCTTCCTATAGTGTTTTGAGCTCTCATCGTGGAAAGCAGTGTTATACCTGACTAGTTTTGTAACGTTATGCAGTTAGCAGAGAATATTTAGTGTTAGACCTGGAATATCAAGCATTCCCATGGCATCAATGTATATGGAGGTCTGTACTTAATAGCATGAGTAGGAAAGACCTCTGGAGAGGGGAAGATGCTATTTGGAATGACGTTATTTGAAGGCTGGTGACTTGGACTACTCTTCTTTGACTGCCAGATCATGACATTTTATCTTTGGGACCCATCTCAGTGTTTTCAGAGTAATAGTATAAAAGGAAAAATAAATATAAAGATAGAAAACAGCAACAGTAACCTGTTATGTATGATGGCGTAATTTTGTAGCTAGCTTCCCTAAGTCAAATGTAAGGGAAGAGCTGATAAGAATGGATAGGAAAGACCAGATTCTTCCATGCCCCTCTGCTCCTGCTGTGGACATTGCTGTCCACAAGTAAGTGTTTATGTTAAGACCACCCAGAGGCACTCAGCATTGGGTAAGAAGACAAACAAATACAAAAAAATAGCTTTTATATTGGAAGCAGAAGTGTCATGACAAGGAAAATGGAATAGCGCAGCAGAAAGAGTAATTCATATGTTAGTTAATATACTTGTAATAAAAACAATGCCAAACCACCTGTAGCCCTGCCTTCTTGGAAAGTTGAAAGACTGGTGTTCCCAAGCAGGGGCATCTGCAATCTGTTTTGTAACTGACCTCTGACTACACGAAAAGAGGGCAGTCTTCTGACAACTTCAGACTCTGTAGTTGCCTTAGCTCCAGTCTTTGGCCAAACACGAGGACTAGATCTCCTAGCTCCAGATAGACTTCTGCAAAGCAGTACTGCACAGTTTTGCAAAGGGGGGAGGAGGGTTGGCCAAATCTTGTCTAATACCTGGACTCAGACTTCTCCTCTTTGCCCTCTTTCTGTTTTCAGGATGGTGCATCGATTTAGACAACTGGATGCAAAGGTACTTATGTTTCAGACTGTTCTAGGGGATGTGCTTCTGTCTAGTAAAGCAGGTAGTGGTCCACAAGGAAAATGAGCATCACCGAGAGTCGTGTGCAGTTACTACTGCCAGGACTCCGTTTTAATTGGGCTTTTTTAATGTGCTCCTTTGCACCTTTGATTCCATATGTAGCTTCATATTTTGCTGGAAAATGAAGCAGAAAGATGCTTGCTTAGCATTAGAGAAGTGTTTCTCAGTATTCCTTATTGAATGGAATAGAAATAAAAATAACTTCTATCTTATAAAACTACAATATCCTGCTGAGTAACAGGCGCATGGAACACCGATGGGAAGAAGGGGCATTACACACTTAAAGTATGCCCTTCTCAAACACTTATTCTGTCAAGTTTAGCCTCTAGTGCTGAAGGCATGAGGTAATTAATCCTACTTTTTTGTTTGTTTAACCTCTGCTTATAAAATGAAGTGGCAGTTGGGATATATTGTGGAAAGCCTGGTGGTGCTTCAGATAGCACAGGCAACATCTGCTAGGTAAACAAAGAATGCTCCATACGTATTTCAGGGTAGGAAGACCTTTAATTACAATTAAAATGATGAATTCTTATCTGATTCACAGAAACATCCTGTGATGAAGCAATGTAAAACTACCAATGTACTAAAGAGAACATAATTATCAGAATTGTCATACAAGTATACTTTTTATGACTGTGATACTGAAAAGACTTTCATAATGGGTATTTTTTGAGGGCTTGATTGAATTATGTATTTTTCCTCTGAAGTGGAGAGTTGCTTTGGTGTGAAGAACAGACTTTTTAAAAGTCGAAGGGTGAAAAGGACCACATATACTTCAAAATGCTTCTTTTGATTGCTGTCAAATAATTTAGTTTACAAAATAATGGCTTGCTTTCAAGACTGAGATGGAAATGGTGAGCAACAAAGTATATGTCTAGTGATGCTCCTCTTAAAACTGAAAACAATATGATAACGTTAATTCTCTACTGAAAAGTAATACCTAAATGCTACCTCATATTCTCTGAGGGAATACCTTACAGCAAGCTGTTCTGTCTATTCATGCCTTCAGCTTTAATAACAGAAATGTAGTGAGGCCAGTGCTTAGGAGTAGTGCCCTTGAGAGCAAGGCACCCCAGGGATATCTCACTGGCTCTCATTTGAGATGATGTCCTAAAAACAAGTCTGAGGATGTAACTAAGTCCCAGGCACGAGCCTTGATCATGGAGTAAACTTTTCTTTAAACTTGATGCGGATGTCCCGAGGAATAACGACTTCAGTTATGGCACAGGGAGGGTTTGAAGGCAGCTCCACGTGTCAGAATCAATGCTCCAAGAAACTCCACTGATCTGCAATCTCTACTTTGAAGGAGCACAAAGAGATGGAGTATAGATGGGAGCTTGTAGCTGTCATGATGCCTGCTTGTTAACTAGGTAGAATACATATGCATTAGGGCTCACTGCATTAATTGCATTGATGAAAACTGTAATTGGGAGTACCCTTTCAAGCACTGTTGCATTTGATATGATATTTGGAGAGACAATCACTTCTTACTCGTATTACTTATAGCATTGCTTTCCTGTGAAAAGCAATATTAACACTGCTTCATTTGCCACCACAGTGTGACTACTGAATACAAAAAGCAGTCAGTTATTACTTTCAAAGTAGTGGCTGGCATCCACAGGGTAGCCAGGGAGGCAGGAGTTCAGATAAGGGGTTTTATGCCTGTTGTTGCTTATGTTGTATGGTATTTTCTAGGGCATGTATGTTCTAGGGTATTTTAAGGTACTTACTACTGCTTGCTTGTTTTGTTCTCTTCCTTTCCCTTCATCCCAAGCTGCGATCATATATTGGAATGAGTTAGGTTGACTTTACGTATACAAAGCTTCTTTTATTTTTTTTTAATTCTTAAGCTCTCTGATTTGAAAGGCCTGCTGAAAGAGATTTCCAGCAAAATCAAATGAATGCAGCTGAAATCCAAGAGCAGCTACCTGAGCAGGGTAAGCCCTCTTTTAATCCATTCTCTGACTTGAATAAGTTTTCAGCATCTGTAATGTTAAATTGGTATGTCTCTGGAAGAAGACTTAGTATTAATTATTGATGGTTGTATTGGTGTTGTATAATGTTGGAAAAGAAATAAGAGCTAAATTCTCCCCTCATTTGTTTTTTCTGAAAAATATAATTTTCCATCTGGTGTTTCTAAAAATTTTTGGCAGGGTTTAAAATATCTTATTTTGCTCCCTTGCCTTTGAAAAACTGTGAATAAGCCAAAGTTATTTTAGTTGTCTTTGTGCTTGAGGTCCTCTGGTAAATTAGGAGCTGCTGTGCTGGGTCGTTTACAGTTGGTTCATTTTAACTCTGAAGAACATAAAAACCAAATAGAGAAGATAGAACTGTGGGTAGGAATAAGGTTTATGTTCCCATTGTCAAAGTGGGGTGTTATGGCAGATTACTATAGCCTTCCTGTGTCCTTTACGATGAACTGCAGAGTGAAGTGTTGACCTGAAGTCTCCAGAGCTGCAGTTCAGTGTCTGGTCATGACCCTTGTGTTCTTTTTCATCAAGTTCTGTGGAAGAACTGTGTTGAAGACACAGGTACCAGTGGGATGTGAAAGCCAGGCAGAATATTGATGGACTCAGACAACGCCTGTCGTCTTTAAAGACAGCAGGTTAAGAAGTGTAGCTGTTGACAAGGATAATCTGGAACAACTTGATCAGCCTGAACATTAGAGCCTGGCTCCTTCTGCCATAGAGGATTTTTCTGCAAGATAACTTACACTTGTGCGAAATGTTCCTGAATCAGTTGTCTCACCATTTTTCAGGGCTAACTTCATATTCACTTGACCTGAAGCTTGGTTTAGCTATGAATGACTTGCAACCACCTAATAAAATCTAGAAGGATCGCCAGTTCCTGGGTATTTTCTTGGATGCAGTAAACTCCAAGTCACCTAGAGAATAGGCTGTAGAATAATGGAACTCTAGAGGTCATCTAGTCCAACCCTGCTCAAAACAGCACTTGCTGAGATCAAAGGTAGCTGAAAGGTGGCTGAAAAAAATATGTTGCAATTCCGTAAGAACAAATGCAAATTTTACAGTTACCTGGGAATTACTGGCTACACAGGCACAAAATGGGGGGAAATCTGATGAAACAGCAGTTCTGTAGAAAAGTGTCTGAAATGGAATATTAAATAGCTAGTATTTTGTTGTCTGTGAGACATATGAAGCAATCCGCCTGCTGCTTATAGTGCAATGAATCCTCTGTTGGGTACAGTGTCCAGTGTTAGCACTAAGCTTCAAGGAAGACAACGGAGTGGCTGGAGAGTGTTCAGAACAGTGACAAGAGGATTTGCAAGTCTTAACAACATAATCTGTAGAAAGGAGTGAATGAATTATGGTTAGCTAGCCTGGGACAGAAGACACCTGTTTATGATGGAGCTTGTGGAAACAACCTCTAATTATATATAATCAGTGCCTTGAAAAAATGTTTATGCCTGGTAAACTATCTAGATGGCATCCTGGTTGTGATCAAACTGTTTTGCATGTGAGCTGTCCTGACTCTGAAGCTGAGCCTTGGCAGTCCATAGTACTAACGTCATGGTGTGAACAGAGAGGTTAGTGTCTCACAGGAAGCAGATGTGTGTATTGTACTATCTCATCTGAAAGGGAGTGCTTGTATCTGTGCTGACCATCTTCAGTATGAGATGCTGGATTGGCCATTCCAGGTACTTTGCATGCAGGTATTTGTTTTGCTTTCACTTCTTGACAACTAGTATCTCTGCTACTCTGCTAAGACACCATTTTCTAGATGGGTGCCGCAAAGAGCTCCTTGATCCCCAGTGTTGCACAAGACATCTAATTTTCCGAGCTGATGTCACGAGGATGAAAGCAAAACGTTGAGGTGGGCTAGGAGCTCTACTCTAAAATTTTTTCTTTTGCTCACGCAGGTACCAATTCATCAAGAATTATTTCTCTGAGATAGCAGTAACCACCAAGCAAACAGTAACTGATCCACTGGAGTGTCAATGTCTCAGCAGGAGTTACTAGGATTTTTTTTTCTTTTTTGATAAAGAAGTCCTTTTTGCTTGTTGCAAGGTGATGGTAAAACATTAAGACGACTGTTTATCTCCTGGCAGGACTCCCATGTTACCCAAGCTCCCCTTTTCCTCATCTCCCCTGATGTTCAATGGAAGCAATTAGTCCTTGTCAGCTGCTGTTAAAAAGCACTTCTAATTCCACGAGTTCTGCTGCTGCTGCCAAAATCACTTTGCTTTTCAATTTCACTCAAAGGGACCTGTTCATGGGTTTCCTTTAGCTGTTAATCGCTTGTGTTAATGAATCAATCTCCCTTCCCTTTCCTTTGTGTAGTAGCCAGATCTAGCTTGCTACTTGCATGGTTGGTCTGTCTGTCAGACCTGCTGAGGTCTGTAATGCTGGCATGCCAGAATACAATGTATTTAATCATCATCTCCTGCAGGAAAGACAGCCTTTGGTCCAACCATGCACCCACATCTCAGACTCCACATGAACAGCGTGGACTTCTTCCTGCTCTACCTGGAACTGTGCGGCAGTGCAGAAGCTCAACTGTTAGAACCCTGCATGGGAGAGACTTAATTCATCCTGAAAGTGTTTCCAAAAGCCCTGTGTGCAATCCTTGCTTGTTTCTTTAGTGATAATTTGTATACTTGGAGCATTGCAATTCATTTAATTTTTTCAAACATCTGTTTGCAGGTGTTTGCATTTTGAAATGGAGAAGAGATTGTTGCCAGCTTTAAACATTGTGATGCTTGCTATGGTGAAGTTGCTCTTTCTGCTTTTTGTCTAAAATAGCAGCTGAATCTTGCGGCATTTTGTGTGGTATAATTGGATGCATTACCAATGGAAGCGAAACCACTGCAAATGGCATTTATTTACCTTGCAAAGCATTGTATCTGTCTTCATCCCCAGTGTCTAGGAACGGTCTCCCAAGATGTTTGATTTTGAAGGTTTAGGTATTTTTCTTTTGATGGCAATGGCTATCATAGCCCATACACTTTACCATGACTTGCAGCTAGTCTGAGGGCTGTCAGGCAGAATACATGGATGCTTACATGAGTGCCACATGAGGTCTCCAGATGAGTAGTTAGGTAGATGGAGAAAGAATTTCTGCTGAAGAACACTGCCCAGGTGAGTCACCTTGACCAGCGGAAATGCAGCCATCTGTTCCCTGGCTAGAAACCAAAGCCTGCGTGCAGGCCTGCCTCTGTGCACAATAGCATGTTCCAGTCCATGTGTGCTGTGAAAACATGTTGGTCCAAGATGGTGAAGACAAGACAAGACCGTTTTGTGTGTTTTGGTGTTTGCTTCAGTAGAGGGATATGAAGCGCTGTTATACGTGGGGAATGTTTCTACTTTGGGATGCAGCTGATTGAGGTGCAGCTTACTGACTGAGGAGGCCAGCATATGCATGCGTTGTTTACTGGAGCTGCTGCTCTGCTTGTCTTTGTAGATGAAAATGGAATAGTTTTACAGGGAAAACTGTGATGAGGTGTTATCAGAAAGGTTACTGCTCTTTTCTTGCTGCTTTGCATTACCTAACTTTACTGTAGGCTGTGCATTACACGATCCTGGGGGATATAGCACTACCAATAGCAGAGTTACTTGTTTACATGTGGAAATATTTGTGTTTTCCTGTTAAAATTTTATAAAGGACTTGGGCTTTCATTGACTTCTGTGGCAGTTAGCTAGCATCATAAATTATTGAGATAAGTTTCCTTTCTAGAAATTATTTTCCCTATGTCATTTGTATGCCTTGATTGTGAAAATTTTGCTTTTAGTTCATTTCTTTCATATATAAAACGTGCAGTATACTTGCCAGCAGCTCTAGTGATCTGTTCTCTTGTAAAATGGTGAATGTAACTTTGAACCAAGTTCTGAAAATTCAAAACCCCATCGCTGCCAGCCTGCACCCCACACACGCTGCTTTCCCTCGGGCATGTGGCCCCACGGGCTCCTCTCCCTCCCTGAGTCTGGGGCTGCTGACGGAGCCCCAGACCAGCTGGGCTTTGGCGCCAGGGTGGCACCGCAGCTCCCCGGGGAGCAGCCAGCCCTCTGCTCCCTCCAAACCCCGGCACCAGCCGGCTGCTGGCTGGGCGTCGTGGG